AGGATGGGATTCTTCTTGGATTGTCATTTTCAATATAGGTGTAGAGATTAGTTCTTCCATGAGCTAGGACTTGCATGACAAGTGCACCCAATCCATCTCCTAGGATAAACATGAAACCTATAGGTCATTCATCCATTATATCTTAAATCCTTCGTCTCTTTTCGGTTCGTGAGTCGTGCTTTTATTGACTACATATAAACGAAACGAACCCCGAAAAGACCCAATTGTCATGGTATAACTAGTACTTAATGGTATCTTCTAATGATCGAAATAGGTCCTAGGATAGCATTATATCTTAGTTGTAATAGACTTCTCATCGGATATAGCCTGTAAGTTACCGTTATTTATCAACTATATCTTCTCCTCAGGATACCATTATCATAGGTTATCATACCACTAGGAAATACACCTAATAATATGTGAGATAATATCCTAAGTCGTTTTCCCACTGCCGCTCTCCTCTAATATCCTGACTGCCGGTGGTGTGGAATGAATGAGAAGTGAAAGAAGTGAACGTAGTAAAACAAAGACATGACATGAATGCGTGTTTATTTCGTTCATCTTTTCACTTCACATTAATTCTCTAGTACACCTATAATATGGTGAGTCTAGAGTTACTGTTGTATGAAGAGAAAAGGGTTCAGTTGTAACGGAACGAGAGAAGCGAAGAGGAAGCACGAACGAACCCTTATTTCTCTTCCAAATCCACAGAACAAAAGAGAAACAGTGGATGAGGAGCGTATTTCTTTTGGTTGTTTCATTCGCGCTTCATTCCGCTCACTCTTTTCGCTCACATTGCCTTGCAATGAAATAACAACACATCCTTCTTGTGTGTGTTCGTTCCCTTCACCACTTTTTCTGTTTCCTTTAAACACAACACACAAATGAAATAAAGTGTACTGCGTGGTGTGTGTTTAAAGGGAAAGAAAGAAGGGGAACAAACGAAACGAGTCCAAGGCTGTGGCCAACACAGACAAACCGTAGATACATGGGGGTAGCATATATATATATATATATGTAACTCTATATATATATATATATACACATACACACACACACACACTCTCGCTTGCTTGGGTGCATGTACATGTATACACATATGCAGACACTCACATCCGTCAAACTACGCTTACTTACATACACCAACCTATGTTAAATAAGTGTCCGCGTGTCTGCGTGTCTGTGAATACTTCTGGCGTACCTGGTTACTTGACTTGTCTGCTAGCGATCTGTAGCAAGTACTATACCCACCATCCCGTGTATCAAGAGCATCCGCATCAGACAGTGCAAACATGAGACTCTTGCTCTGCTGCGCTCCGCAGCGATGTTCGCCGTCGCTTTGCCGACCTGCGCCGGGTACCACACGCTGGTCGGCACCTGTTCAGCCAGCAAGTCTGACTCCAGGCCCCAACTGTACGCAACATGGGTTGCCGAGACACGTCTTTAGTCATGTCATGACAAGACCTTGCCAATCAAAGGCCCCAAGCACTGTATTTTCCCTCTCGCATGGCAGAGAACTCAAGCACTGTATAGTATATAGGGTTTGCGACTGAGGTTTTAGGCCTTAGGGAATCTATTCGTAGTTTCATCAACCCCCCGGCACCACAAAGGCAAAGCTATCGCATGAAAAGGCAGGCCTGCTTCTGCCCAACTCGAAGCTGTATGGACCGGTAGCCCACTGGCGCCGGCGTGTAAGCCCCTGTCCAAAGAATGTCAGGACCGGGCTCTGCAAGCCCGCCTTCTTTCCAACTGGACAACTTCTGTTGCTGCGAACGCAACCCAACTCTCGGAACGGTTCGACGGATGCTTTTTGTTTGCAATCGAGATAAACAACACATGCCCCAGCACTGGAAAGCCGGGCAACTTTCAAACCCAAGCTTTGATGAGACATGTCAGAGATGAACACCGCCGAAGACACAGGAAAGTCGTATGAGCCTGGGTAGTTCTAGGGGTCCAACGAGGCACCGGCAGAAGTGCCCAAATCTCACTACGACCCCGTTTATCCAACTAAGAAGATGATGGATACCGCAGCAAACTACCAGACCAAGTCGAAGCAACACAACCTGAGAACAATGGTACATCAATTGGCACAGAGCGGACCCTGTAGACTACAAATGGCGCTCTCTCTCTCTCTCTCTCTCTCTCTCTCGCGGGCGTCGAGAGTGTACAGACTCCTCACGCACCGGCGCACCTCTGTGTTCCGGGTTTGAAGAGCAGAGAGTCTCTCTCTCTCTCTCTCTGTCTCTGTCTCTGTCTCTCTCTCCCTCTCTCTTTGTTGTTTTCTCTCTCTCTCTCTCTCTTTCTCTTTCTTCCGCCAGGCGTCGGGCAGGAGGGTAGCCCCCTCCCGCTCTCTCTCTTTCTTTCTTTCTTTCGCCAGGGCTAGGGGCAAGAGGGCTCCCTCTCTCTCTCTCTCTCTCAATCTCTCTCGCGCTCTCCATCACGCTCTCAGGAATCTCGGTCAAGAGCGACGGGGGTACAAACTGCGTATGTTGCGGAGCACACAAACCCAAACAATGGTGATCCCGAAATGGCGGTCTTCGGAAAGCCTCCTCAGCTTAAGGAGGCGGTAGTTGTGATACACAAGTGGTGGACCTTTCGATGTAAACCCTGCACCGATTAAACCTATGGCAATCGTTTCCCACACACGACAACAATAGTTGCTACCTTTGATTTGTTTTTTGTTGTACTAGCCGAAACTGCAGTTAATTGGAAGCTGCTCTAGCTGTCAAGTTTGTTGATTAATATATGATTCTTGCAGGTATGTGGCCGGTACCCTTCAGCCTTCTGAAGTTACAGCACGAGGGGCTGTGTGCAGAGCTCGGGCCCTGCGCGGAAAAAAGAGCCACGGAAGTGCCGAGACTCAGCAGTGCTTGTCGAAGAAAGCTCCTGGCAGGGAGGGAGGGAGGGACTTCCGCGATAACAGGCTTCAGATGCTTCAGGATAGAGTCTTTGGGTTCACCTATCAGACAGCAAGGTTAAGACACGTTTTGGGTTGAGAGTTCAGGGTCCAGACCCCAAATCCATACACCCCCAAACCCTAAAGCCCTTGAGCTCTAAAGCCTCTGGAAACACTCCGACCACCACAGCTCCTGGGAACCACGCGCACATAGCTGGCGACCATGACGCAGGATCAACTTCCACTTGGCGATGCTCTTGGTTTGAGGTGTTCCTCATTTATTTGGGCCCATCTTCCAGCAACTTGAATGAAGTTACGATAAACTAACGAAGACTCTCTACGGCATGTCCTACTTATTGTAACTACTTCATGTTCACGACGATCCCTGAGATCACAGTTTAGATTCATGACGAATGTTAACTGACGCGCGCATCCGAACTAGATTTTTCCTTAAATCTCCCTCCCTCCCTCCCTCCCTCAATACCACCTCAGCCACATCTGCCTGGAATCTTCCCGGTCCCCAAACCCTCCGCAATGTGCCCCCAAAACAGCTTGAATCCTCGCTTCAAATCAATTCCCCGCAGCAACAACAACCTTCTCCAATGAGCAGGAGACAATGTGTAAAGTTGAAAAAGACCTAAAGTGGACATATGTAGACGGGTATCGGTCTTGCTGTCGGGTTTCGGCTCCTCACGAAACTGAGCCTTGTTCTCTTCTTCGTGTCGAATCAAGAGGCTCTGACAACGTTAGTCGCTCAACCCATCCTCAAAGCCATCCCTGAGGCCCTATGCACTCCATGTGGTCAATCAGCGGTCAATCACAGGTTGACCTGTGTCTTTGCTTTCTGCTCGCTCCAGACACGCGAAGCTTCGGTAGATCTCCGGAGCTAAGTTATTGACTTCTCGGCTGTGGCTCGTGGCTGCAGGCTAGTGAGGCTAGTTATGTGCAGTATGTGAGAAGTTTGTGTTCGTAGTCTGGTTACATCTTCCGGTTGCTCTATATAGTCTATAATGTGACCGCCCACTTGGCCCTACAAGCGCCGCGTCACGTCGTCCGAGATCCCTAGCGCGCACCCTCTAACTCAGGAAAGGACGATGATGCACGAAGTGCCACACCTGAGCCGCTGCATTTCCAGCTCAAGGGTTATTTTTTACGTAGAAGTCGGGACTCGCATGCGGTTCAAATACCACCTGAAACCACCAGATTTTTAGGCTTGCAAACTTTGCAAGGTCTCTTGAGACAGCTCCAGCGATCAGGCCCAAACAAAGAAGCACTTGCAAGGTGCATGTAGAAGTCTAGAGGGTGGCAGGTAACGAAGCGTCAGACCCAAACACCAAAATGTCTGCCCACGAATTGGTTGGGGCCTACAGCTGACTAAAAGGGGCCTACAGCTGACTAAATAGCGAACGCAGGATTTCCGAACTCGGCGCACCAGAGACTCTGCAACTCAGCTGCCATTCGTCCAATGGCCTCGCTCTTGCCTGGGCGAAGCTTGGAAGCAGCGAAACCGACAAACAAGGCTCGGTTGCGCCGCTGTCTACATCGCAGCCCTGTCGCGGTGTTGAGAAGAGACCCCTTTACCACAGCTACCTGCACACTGCAACACTCGTGGTCGTATGCCCTAAACATGGCCGGACAGTAGAGCTGAGCCGCATTCCATCACCTTCGTCCTGCCAACAAGCAACTTACTAAGGCTCCGGGCGCCCAGGCTTGGGCCTCGCTCGCTTGTGCTTGCTGCGTGGGCTGTGGGGCTGTGGCATTTTGTGGTTAAGGCAAGTCTTGGAGAGTTGTAGGGTTGCGGCCGAAACGGCAAGGATTTTGAGGTTCGGTGCTCATAGAAACGGGTGAGCGGGTTGACGAAGAAGTGGTTCGATGTTGACCCTGTGGATTCCCTGGTGTTCCAGCGAGCATCCGCATGTGCAATGCCCGATGTATGTTTGTCCACACATGCCAGGATGGGCCAGGTATGACCAGGTATAGCATGGAAGTAACTGGCATGGAAGCATCTTCCGAGAGGCACCGGCCTGTTACCCTGGTCGTGCGTGCCCTTACCCCTTACATGCTGGCTTAAGGTCCGCAACCTCATGTGTGCATATGCTAACAACTGACTAATACGACCGAAAATTAGACAGAAAAGGATGTCAAATTCGAAGAGTGCCGAAGCTTACCGTCGCATAAGTCGAAAAGCTCGAAGAGTTCATGCACGGCAACGGCTAAGCTACACCACATAAGTCCTCTCGATGATGTCTTTCTGCCAGACAGCCGGCAGCCACCTGGAGGCTAAGACCCCGGCAAAAAAGCGCCATCGTGGCGCCGGATTAAGGGTCCCTGTATGCCTTCTACTGCCGGGGCGACAAGCGTATATTTCTGGCCAATATCCCGGATTGCCCATTGGCATCTCCATGATCGGTATCCCAACTCCCAACTCTTAACCATGTAGGCTGAACGGCATCAAGCTTCCAACAGTCCTGGTCGCTTTGGCTCTAAAACATGATGCGCCCATATTTCAGGTCCTTCAGATTCCATATGACATGTACTTGCTGCAATTAGACACAGAAGCCAAGGACCTTTTGCAGCAACCATTTTACATAGCACACCAGGGAACCATTGCTTGGACAAACATTCGACAAAGGCCTCCAACCTAAAAACTGAAATCGGCAGGTGTTTCCGCTGCCCTCCTCAACACACGTGAAGTATGTTTGTTGTGAGTACGGGACCAACTAGTCGACTTGTGTTTGAAGGCTGCTGACCACACAAGGACCCCAATCCCAAAGCTTAGCATGGAAAAACCCTGTGGGGCGCAACACCCGCAAACCGTAAACTGTGCTGAAGCCCCACACTTCCGACCCTGTAACCGCAGAACGCTCAAGCCTCTAACCCACAAACCTCTAAAACAAAAGCCTTACTGCCGAAGCCAACCACGCTCTGTACACTCTCAACTTTAACTCTTCATGCGGTGTCTTGCCCGAGGCACCAGTTCACCAGGTATCCCGATCCTTTCCTTAGTGTTTGAAGCCAATAAATGACCAATTCTGGCTTTATGATTGGAGAAACACCCCACTGTCTCAATGGTTGGGGCATTCTGTATAAGACAAAGGGCTTATCTGGCTAAGGCGGTCTCTTTATGGGATTGGGTTTGGGGTTGACAGCAGCAGCATTCCACACCTCCGCTAAACATACTGTGCTTGGCGCATGAAAACGATCCGAAGTTCCTGTATGCACGGGGTGGAAGCCAAGCTTCCTGTACGAAGCACCCATCACGAAGCAGGCGTCACCTGAGCTCTCCCTGGTCTGGTAATACAAGACAGATCGCGCGTAGCCAGTTCCGCTTACTTAACGTAGAAGGGCTGCATGTGAGACTGAACTGCCTGGATGGCACGGACAGGCATCATGACATCCCGTCGTCTCACAAAATGTTGCAGTGAATGTCCTTTCGCGAACTCAAAGAACAAAGGCATCGCACGGAAATTCGATGTGCGCGCGTAGCTTTTTACTTGCAGGGTACGTCCCAGTACAGCACAATACATACATGATGGTATATGCCATGCCCTAGACTCTCGCAGCCTGAACGTGCAGGTGCAAGTATTGAAGGACTTGTGCAGCGACGCTCTTGAAATATGCGGACATAGAAACAGATTAAGCAGACACCTCATACTACCTCTGTGAGGGGCGCGGTTGGCCAGCCCAATTTTAAAACATGCGGAGGATGTGTGCGGAGCTGGAGGGCTGACGGGAGGGCTGGCGGAGGGTTGGGAAGGGCGGGTCGGTGCAGCATCGAGAGATTTGGTGAGCGTGGGGAGGGTTGGATGGATCTGTACTTAGGGAGAGCCTGGAGGCTGCAAACCATGGACCGGCTGGCGAGATGGAGTGGGCTGGAGTCTCGGTTTAGCCACAGCCGAGGCCTGCCGTCCGGTATCGACAGTTTTTGCCTAAAGTTTTGGGGACTGCTGCCATGAACTGATGGCTCAGAAAGCAAAAGCTGGATGGACTCGTCCTTTAGGCCGGGGTCTGAGCCCACGGGCCTCACCACTCCATCTCGCTAGCCAGTCCATGGTTTGCAGCCTCCACGCTCCGGCTCACGTCCAAAGCTTCACCCCTCCACCCCTCCATCCCTCCAATGCTCCCTATTCACAGCTCCATCAGCCCATCCCCAACCCTCCCGCCCATTCCTCCAGCACTTTGCTGCACCAACCCTGCAGACTTCCATCATCCAGCACTCCAGCCCTCATGCGCGTGGCAGAATAGATATCCGCGGGCCTGTTGGAGAGATTGAACTTGGCAGGGTGGATGATTGTGAATATTTATGGAATTAAACATGCGGAGAGTATGAATCAGATACGTCATACTACCTCTGAGCGGCTGCCGGGTGGCCCGGCCCCCACATATTTAAAAACCGCCAGTCCTGCCATGGTGGGGCTACCATAAAACCGACAAAAATGCAATAAGATTTGTGATCTCTGCGATTCTTTGGGACAAATCCGCAGAGCCACGCGACTACAAATCCTAAAGCCCGAAACTTGATCGTCTGGCTGTCGGAATCTCGACAGTACACATGAAGCCGTCCTTGTCCACTGTGGCTGCAAAACCAACAAGCAAGCAGGATATACAAAACCACAGTTTTCTGAACTACTACGTCCACGGACCCAACCACAAGAAACTCCTCGCCATGAAAGCGCTCGTGGTAGACCCAATTCGAAATCCCGAACTCGCCGACACAGTGCAAGTGGCTGAGAACCAAAGCCCTCGAACAAAACTCATTGCTTGTGGCGTGGGACGAGGCCCCAAACTGGTCGCAAATAGGCCGGCGCCCCAAGGCCAATAGGTGTCCCGGAGGGCCTCAAACAAACGCACAATTAAGTTCGTGCTGTAGGGCCGAGTTTAGGAAAGTCGCACATGCGGGAGACGCTTGAGCATACAGGTCCTTCCATTTAGGTTTTGCTTCCCGGCATAAACCCACCTGCGGACTTGTTAATCCCTCGAGAATACACGGGCGGATGCAGGCAAGAGATTGGAGCTTCGGGATGCATAGGGTTCAGGACCATGAATGAAAACCCTACTGTAGCCCTGGGCCGATGTGGTCCGGAAATGCTCCTCGAATCAGATCGGATACATGGTCTGCTGCAAGAGGGGTTGTTCCAGCAGCTAGTCGCGCAAGAACTTCAAAAACTGACAAGAGCATGTCGCGAGGACTCATGCACAACCGCTAAGCCTACTTCCGTGCCAGCTCGTCACGCCGTGTAAGACTTCACTGTACATCTTGGTCATTGGAAACAATAGAACCAGAGGAGGTGCAGGCAAACTTCCACCTCGATAGTCCGTTCTGCGCGAACGGACTTTGATTAAACACCGGCTATGAGGGCACGCCATGCTATGGCTGCTATTGCCTGAGCTGTTCCTTCCGAAGATGCCTACACACAGACTTGAGGACCAGCCTTCTCTGCATTCAGGAGGCGCACATTCCGGCAAGCGTGGTTCCTTGGCGACGAGGAGGTCAGCGATGCTTGGGAGCTGCATCCATGAAGCCGAGACTTCGATCCCCAGGCTTACACAAACGACTCAGAACTTCTAGACAGAGCTAGGAACAGAGGCATCCAGCAAGGATACAAATATCAGGCAGCTCTGGTAGCGATTCTTTAGATTAGGTACTGATTTTCAGTCAAGCTTTCTCACGACCTACTTCGTCTGGTCAACGGATTACAAGCAGCTGAACTTACTTCAGCTTCACCAACTGCACAAACTGTTTCTCTCTCTCTTTCTCTATCTGTTTCAAAGACTGATGGGACACTTCGACACGACGCTCTCTCAGCTGCTGCCTTCGCCGCTCTGCAGATCAATCCAACGGTTTGGTGGCCGTGATTTTTCTGGCGAGCGTTCTTGAATTTCTGCGAGCTCTTCCAAGCAGGATTCGAACGGGTGAGCTATACAGCCACATCGACTTGTAGCTCAAGTGAACAACCTGCCACCTCCGCTTGCATCGAGATTCGCCTGCTCTTCGCTCGGGAAGGAGACCTGTCACGGAGCGCAATGATCGCATCCTGGTGTGCTGGAACTGAGTTGCCAGCACAGAACTGTTCCCCTCGAAGTTTCCAAGTATGAGGTTCTGCACATGACCTCAAGACTCGTGCACATACGGAGACCTTGATTATGCCCCGGCCCCGGCTTGCCCTGTCCTGTCGGAGGCTCTATGAGACGAACTCTGACAGCTGCACTGCCCGACGTCAAAAATCTGAAACAGTCCGAGATACCTACGTTGTGCACTCAGAACTTAACCCCTAAGAACCTCTTACTAACCCAAAACCAGCCTTGGGAACGGGGGGCATGATCCAGTCGGGCGGATTTCCGATGCAGCCTCCAGGAACAATTCCCAGGGACGAAACAAAGAGTCGGGGGCTCAACTCAATGTTCACCACCCCGAATAAGCCTCGATGATGCACTGCGGAGATTATAAGTCAGACTTGGACTAGACAACAGAGAACACTTTCTTTCTGCTAACTGCCAAGTTTGGGGTGCACGAGGTCGTCGTTTCGAATTTTGGTCGCTTCAGGCAAGCTTTGGGTTGTACTGGGTGGCTCGGCAGGGAGTACTAGCTACAAACTCTACATTATGGCATCGTGGTTGTCACTCAGGCGCAAAACAAAAAAAACAGTTAAACATCTCGTAGACCGTCAACCCTACATGGCAAGAAACATAACTTACAAAGAAGCAAATGACTTTAATCTAACAGACGACTGGTTCTGAATCTAGACCTCACGAACCCAGGAGCCGTAGTTGCAGTCGCCCACGGCGAAGACGTGCCCTCCCGCCCATACGTCCCCGACCTCAGCGGATTAGAGTGCGAGGCTCCCCGGTAGGAGCCTCAAGTTGGAAAAGGAAGATCTGGGAGTTAGGGATGTCTGCTGGCGCCCGGGATCCCGCAAACAGCGGCCTGAATGATGTCATCCCTGCAACCCGAACCCAATCAATCCTCGCAAAACTCACACATGCCTGCATCGAGGGTAGCGCATGTAACCATAGGTCTCTGAGGAGCCAACACTTCTTGATTTGTTCACTTACATGTTGCACCGCTGTGGCGCACAACACTCCGATCTTCCTGTCGTTGGTGTCTGTGGTTTGTAGGGTGCGTTGGGATACTCTGCAACGGCTCGAAGACATTCCCGAGGCTAGGGCTTGCGCTCCTCGAGGCGGACGGGTGGTGACCTGGCCAGGACCAGAAGCAGGTTTCAGAATGCGACGACGAAACAACCCCGCAAACAATATCATCAACAAGTCCTTAACCCAACGTGCACATGTGCAGCTACCGTATGCCTGGGTCCCGTTCGAATGAATTCGGCATGCGTGTGTTAGGTAGGCATACAGAAGAGCAAGGACTGCACGCGCGGTCGTCCGAGCTGTTTTCGGGGTCCTATCAGAACGAAGCCCGCTTCTGGGGACCCCAAAAGTGAACCCCAATTCAGACAACTCCCGAAACCTGAATCGTAAACAACCCCAGCCTGGAAAACAAATACTGCCATGTCCCATGTGCGGCCTGAAGTTTCTGGTTGAACAGTATCCAACCGCCACCTCCTCAGTTGTGAAACTCGTGGGAGTTTCGGCTTTTGAGTTTAGGGTCTGGGGTCTACGATTGAGCCTCAGGTCTGCAGGTTGGGTGCAGTGTAATCTCTTGGATCAACCACTCATGTGCTTGACCGCAGCTCTCACAACAACTGATGGCCGCAAATCGCTTGGCATCGAAGCACCTGAAGCCCTGAAGGCATGATTGCTTTGGTGTGACCAGGGCAGGAAATTCTGAAATTGAACCCTTGTTGAAACTGGGCTTGCTGGCTGCCAGAACGCATTTCATCCCAGAACTAGAACCTTAACACACACGACTTTTCTGAACAGGGTGTTCGGGGTGCTTTCGGCGCTCAAACTCGGACAAGCCAGGCGAGGTTATGGGCTCGTGGTCGATTGAGGTGAACCGCTTCCAAAGATGTCCTTCATCCGGAGAGCCAGCACGGAACATACGGAACAAACAATATGCTGATATAGGGTACAGCATATGACTTGTGACCATTCAGGGAATCCATGCTTTAAAAAAGGATCTTCTATAAATTGGAGTGGAACCTCTTGGCATCTTAGATTGGGTGGACATGGTATCAAGCTGGTGCAGGTGCTGCTCTGACCCACACCCTCACACCATCACGTCTGCGGCCCGGATGCCCGGCCCGGTGACACCTCAGGAGGTTTGGGCTGAGGGTTGCGACATCTTGGTTTAGAGG